TTTTTTTTTTTTTTTTTTCCTTTCCACCACTCACATTATGTAATATTAATTGTATATCAGAAATCACTTATTATTACACTTTTGTTTATAAAAATTTATCTGTCTATCCACTCATATTTTTGTAACTATTAATTATTTTTTTTACTATATACTTATCACATAAAATTATTAATTTTCTACGTATCTATTGTTATGATCAACAATTCAAAACCCAGTTCTCCATCAAGCCCAACATACAAGCCCAAATGGGGTTCCACTCTAAAACCAATTGGCAATAGAGGGAGTAGCCCACTAAGCTTATATATTGACTTGGAAACCATTAATTTTCCGATGTGGGATTGGGTTTGCACACCCAACAAACCTCCCCTCAAACACAAGACCACATTGGGCCTCCCCTTGAACGAAATCCGACCATCTTGTACCGCCGTTATCACCCACGGAACCCGCCGCCTGACCACACTCATTCGTCAGGAAGACTTTCGACACAAGGCACATGGATCTACCGGCCCTTCCGGCTCCACGGGGAATATGCCACGTCATCCACATCACAACTGGGCTACCAACCGTGGCTCTGATACCAATTGTTAGGATCAACAATTCAAAACCCAGTTCTCCATCAAGCCCAACATACAAGCCCAAATGGGGTTCCACTCTAAAACCAATTGGCAATAGAGGGAGTAGCCCACTAAGCTTATATATTGACTTGGAAACCATTAATTTTCCGATGTGGGATTGGGTTTGCACACCCAACATCTATCACATTGCAATTACTTATTATTTTTTATTAAAAACAAAGGAAGAAAGCATCTCTAATGGTGTATTGTCCGGTGTATAACATAGAGAAAGAAATTACAAAATTTTCTCTCCAATGGTTAATGTCTATTTTATTATAATTTGACATGTGTAAGATAATATTGGTTGGATATGAAATATATATTTAATAAATAATAAAAATTGTAACAGAGGATATATATAAGTACTTCTATGTCTAGAAAGACTTTTAGACATTTTGAATGTCACATAAGATTTATTATGCCACATGACAATAAAGAAGAGTCTATGAACCATTGGAGATGCTCTCAATTTCTCGCCAATCCACACTAAACACAAGAAAATGTAAAGTCATAAGAAATATGATAAAGGGCGACGTAAGAAATATGTCAGAGAGACTGCAGAGAACTCTCAACTATCTCATTGTAGTTCGCTCTAGCCTTTTTTACTTAAGGTGATTGGATAACTCATGTTATCCACCATTTATTGGCCATGATAAGATTGGATAATAAGCTGATGTGTATTGTGGGTTCCACACTTTTATGCACTATTGACAGGATTATTTTGCCTAATCTTGAGGGTGAGGCAATTTGATCCCACCATACAAATGACCATTTTGTCCAAAAATTAGCATGTGACATGTCCTTTTTACCCTTAGAAGTCCACCAAATTATAGATTCAGCCATGAAGTTGTCATGTGGGTCCCAAACTTTTACGTACAATTGGCAGTATTATTTTTTCCGATCTTGAGGGCGGAGCAATTTAATCCCACATACAAATGACCATTTTGTCCAAAAATTAGCACGTGACATGTCATTTTTACCCTTAGAAGTCCACCAAATTACAGATTTAAGCCACGAAGTTGTCATGTGGGTCCCACACTTTATCTCATATTTTGCTTTTATCTTGTCATTTTATCCAGGTTAGTAATCGCTTGATTGTTTTTGCTTAAAATGCATCATGTTTTGTAAACATTTGGCACAAGCTGACGTGCAAAGTTAATGGAATCCTATAAAGTAAAATAGGTCTCTTTAAATAGGATTTACAGTTAACTTAAATAAACAACTTAACCTCTACCCATCCTTATCAGTAATTTCCACACCAAAATATAATTAATTACAACACTCCTTCTCAGACACTACTACACGTCTCATTAAAAACCTTAAAAAAAACCCGACACGTGAAAAATTAGTCAAGAAAAAAAGAGTACATGATTTAATAAAATTTTGTTATTACTATTTGCCTAATTAAAAACCTTCATATAATAAACCCAATAAAGAAACTTAGTTAAGGAAAACAAAAATACAATACTTAGTCTTTGTTGGGTATTATGTGTGAAATTACACGGGAATCCTATGAACTGATATGTAATTTTCAGTTCTTACAAATAATCTAAAAATAAAAGTTACAATTGAACTGGAAAATAAATTACAACTGAAATACGAAAAGATTTTAGCCGAGGCGAGTAAAACTCTTTCCGCAAGAAGAATACGCACTATGTGTCAACTAACGGTTCAAGCGTAACTTCCCCAAAGATACAACGGCAAACGTCTCTAAATCTGTAGCACACCAGATTTACGAGCTCCGGCGAACTGGAACGGAATCGAGAATTGAGCACTTAGAAATAAAAAAAAAAAATTCTGAAACTAATAAAAATATTACTTGTTTCTTCTCTTTTGATATTTTTATATCTGATAACTGGACATATATATTTCTTTCCTTTCTCTTTCTAATTCTTTCTTCTCTTTTCTGTCTTATTTTTGGTACACATTACACATTGGCCGAATGCCAATTTATAGAGCAAAGATAGGAAATAAAGCATGACCAATTAATAATAAGCCATCAGCCATATGAGGAAGGTAGTACATGAAATGGAATAGATTCCTCCACATGATTACAGCTCAATCTCCATTATTAGTGCTGTCAATTATTCACTCAATTAGTATCAATTAACGATACAAAATAATTACAAATTGGCCCAATTTACACTCAATTCCAACAATCCCCCACATGAGTGTAAATTAAATGTACTAAGTGCTCAATCCTCACAAAACTCTATTGCATCATAGAAGGTAGGTTTTGGCTTTGAACCTTTCTCAGTAAACATCATCGGATTCACTGGCGGCTACATAATGCCTTGAACTATTCCTCCATATTGTACACCAAGACAATGACATTTACACAATAAAGTCTTAACTTCATTCCGTTCTATCGTTGTGTCCGTTTTGGCCATGGACAACACAATGGATTCATAAGTGTTTACATTTGAAGCAGCCCACCCTTCACACTTATATAAATGACCTCCCTATCAAGAGTATCCTGTCTTACTCCACCTTTACAAGGTTAGGGATTCATTAAAAGTCCATATGACTTACCCTCACCACAACCAACAGATAATCTTGCACTTGGAGTGTTCTAGGGAATAGCTTTGGACATTCTTATGTTCCAAGTGCTCAACTGATTTTTCATAGCTTAGTTTTCCCTTTGAACCAAGTTTGTGGGATCTCCACTCAGCATGGTAGGGTTACCACTATGATCATTCTTTACATTGTGGATTTTAAGCCTATTCCCTCTAGAAAAACTGTCAATTTATCTCTATTCAATCCTTTCGTCAAAGGATCAGCCAAATTTTCCTTAGACTTCACATAGTCAATGGAAATAATACCATTTGTGATCAATTGACGTACGGTATTATGTCTACGACGAATATGTCTAGACTTACTGTTATACAAGTTGCTTTGCGCCCTACCTATAGCAGCTTGGCTATCACAGTGAATCATCACAGGCGGCAAAGTCTTGTTTTATTTAGAGGTCACCCTGGCTAGCCCGGGAAGTCTCATGATCATCCAATAACAATAAGAAGGGTTTCCAGTCAGCCTACAAGGCCTTAACTCCTCCTCGATATAAGTACTATCGAAATTGATTCGTTTCTGGCGATAAGCTCCAATTGCATCGTAGGAATTAAAAAAAAAGGGTGTGGATACCCCTTTGTCCAATAATAGGTGACCCCTCGTTTTTAGGACTCGGTCAAATTTGTTAGAAATGGTCAGCCCTTCGGTTTCCCAATGAGGGAGCCCCCTATAGAAATGCTTAGAGCAAGGCTTAGAACCAGGGTCGATGGTATAAGTAAGGCCCCTACAGATGAGAGTTCAATATTGAACCTTGGACATATAAGAGTTTCGAATCGAATCTCTTTAGAAAGAAGATCTTTTGTCTCATGGTAGTATGCTCCAGTCCCCTTACGAAACTTTCGCTATTGGGTTAGCCATACACTTCACGTATTTCTAGCGATCCAACTGCATTGCCAGAATCCATGTTGTAAAATCCCGAGCCAAATG